AGGCTGAGTCAACCTTGAGCCGGTGAGATTAGAACCGCTGAACGGCAGATAACAGTCAGCTGAAGCTAGCTATCCAGTTTGTTGTTCAGCTGACCCACTAACAAACTGCTGAATGTCACTTTGCAAACCTCTTTCCGAGCAGCTTTTCAATTTAAAATCCAAAGTTTGCAGCTTTAAGACTTGTGGACTTCAACTCCCAGAATTCCACAGCCAGGCATGCTCAGTTCCGATTTAAAGTGGCAGTATTTGATTTTCCCCTTTGCTGAATCTCCTGGCTGAAAAGCGAGTTTCCTTCTTTCTTTTTCTTTCTCTTTCTCTTCTCTCTCTCTCTCTCTCCCTCCCTCTCTCTATCCCTCTCTTTTAGTTTTTAAAGCCTTTTTTCCCCTTACCTGAACCGACAGGGAAATAAACTTTTAAAGACCAAAAACTTCTGACGAAGTTTCTTACAGGAGAACAGGTTCGGGGGCGTGGCCAGACCATCATTACTACCGGTCCTATCCGGTACGCCAGATTTTTATTACGTCTTCTGGTGTACCGTACCGGGAGGAACCCACCTCTGACCCACACCCACACCGAGAATAACCTGTATTTCCCGGGGTAAGAATTTCGTGAGATAATCCTCCGAGGCCTTCTTCTTGGAGATGATCTTAATGGCCACCATGGACTTCTGCTTGGAGAAGTAAGCTTCGTAGACGGTCCCGTAGGAGCCGTGCCCGATGGCTTTGCCAATTTGGTAGCCATACTGGTCCATCACCGAGACGTACGGCGTGGAAGTCGAGTGTTCCACCATGGCGGAAAGCTCCTTCCCTGGGGAGAGCCCTTTCCTTCCAGAAATCGGCCGATTCGATCTCGGCTCTTGGGAAGTCTTTAGAGGTGGGGCAGAAGGGCCCGCCGCCGAGGGGGGTTGATGGGACGACGTCTTGCTTGATCCTAGTCGGGATATCTCGAGAACTTTCTATAGAAAGGGCACACCATTCCCCCCCCACAGCGGGTTCCTCTCCTCAAAGATCTGGCAGAGGAACCTGTGTTTGGTTCAGAGAGGATCAGGTGGCGGTGGGGATCCACTGTCGGGATCCACTTCTCTTCACCCTATTGGGTCTAGGATAGGAGCACCCACGAAGGAGGGCTTCCCTTTGACACTATCAGAGGGATAAAGGGCTGCCACCTTCAAGACCTTGAAGGGTTGACCGGAATCACCTCGACTGGGTCCCACCAAGATTCCTGATGATGCCATAGCCATGTTGAAGCCTTCTGTCTACCCTGATTGGCCAGTGGGGTTCCGGTTACCATAGAGAAGCTTCTAGAAATGACAGCATTGTCCTCCAACTTTGGAGGAATGTTCCACCGAGTCTAAGAAGGAAAGAGAACCATGGAAGGAGGGACGCCGACCCCCCCAGTTTAAACCGTGCTTTCCATGGCAATTACGTTCTCCAGCCTTAGCATCGTGAAAGATGGGTTGACTTCAACTCCCAGAATGCCGCCTTTTCTGGCCTTCGTTCGGCCTTTTGGTGTCGTTTGGTCTCTACACAATTCAGTAAGCCTTCCGAATAATAAGAGGTGGAAGGGACCTTGGAGGCCTTCTAGTCCAACCCCTTGCTCAGGAAGAAGATCATTCTGGACAAACTTCCAAACTTTCAGTGGTGGAGCACCCACAGCTTCAAGTGGCAAGCTGTTCCGACGATTAAATTGTTCTGTCCGGAAATTTCTCCTCAGTTCCGAGTTGCTTCCCTCCTTGGTTAGTTTCCATCCGTTGCTTCTTGTCCTGTCTACGGGGGCTTTGGAGAATAGCTTGGCTTCCTCTTCTTTGGGGTAGCCCCTGAGATACTGGGACACTGCTATCATGCCTCCCCAAATTCTTATTTTCATCACAGTTGACCAAGGGTCGGCAAACTTAAAGTCTCAAAGAGCCATTTGGAGCCGTTTCCCACAGAAAAGAAAACCACCGGGAGCCACAAAGGTCCTAACCGGAAGCCCCCTGTTCAATTCTGGAGCCGACCGGAAGTCCAGTTCCCCCCACCATAGAGTCTCCTCCTAGCGCGGCGTCCTTTTTCCTCTGCCTGTCATAACCGAAAGCCCTATCAATTGTGGAGACAACTGGAAAACCCGCCCCTTGCCATTGAGTCTTCTCCTGGCGCACTGTGATTCTCTCCCCCGCTCCCCCACCGGAAGCTCCTCTCAAAATTGTGGCGCCGACCGGTGACGGAGCCGCAGCAGAGGGTGGAAAGAGCCACATGCGGCTCCAGAGCCACAGGTTGCTGACCCCTGCATTAGACCTACCTAATTCCCGCAACCGTTCTTCATATGTTGTAGCCTCCAGATGCCGCAAAGAAATCCAACCTCTTTTCCAAGGCTCCAGAAAGCAGGATAAGAGACAATGGATGGAAACTAATCAAGGAGAAAACCAGGTCTAGGAATAAGGAGAAATATCCTGGTAGTGGGGATAATTAACCAGTGGAACTGCCTGCCACTAGGAGTTGCGGGTGCTCCATCACTGGAGGCCTTTAAGAAGAGACCAGAAAGCCATTTGCCTTGTCTTCTGCTCAAGCAGGTGAGTTGGACTAGAAAAGGGCTCAGCAATCCGCACAGTGGTGACATTCACATTTTTTTTTACTATCGGTTCTGTGGACGTGGCTTGGAGGGCGTGGCAGGCGAAGGATTCTGCAAAATCCCCATTCCCTCCCCACTCCTGTGGGAAGGATACTGCAAAATCCCCATTCCCTCCCCACTCCAAGGGAAGGATACTACAAAATCTCTA